TTTTTGGTCTTTTTTGAGACAGGGTCTCCCTGTAGCCCCAGCTGGCCTGAACTCACTGTGTAGACCAGGCTGGCCTGGAACTCACAGAGATCTGCCTGCCTCTACCTCCTGAGTGCATGTACCACCACGCCCAGCTTAAACTGTATTTTTTTTAAAAGGGTGTGGTGGGGAGCTTCGTGCTGATGTTGGTGGCTACTTCCCAGGGCAGTGAGAACAGGAGACTGTAAGGAGCCCACTGTGTGCTTAACAAGTGGTTCATGGGTGCTGTACCTCCTAGCAACAGTGCATGTGTTTCACTCATCTCCGTACTCCGACAAGTCTTCCCTGACAACATGGCAAAGCTGACATGTGCAAGGGTCTTGGGAACACAGGTCTTCCTAACCTGCCTGATGACCTGGCCTGTCTTCCTACGCAGCTGTCTGTGAGATCCATGCCAGCCTGGACCCCTCACTCAGCCTCTTCTGCTCTGGTTCCTGGGAGCCCAGCACAGTACCCACCAACACAGAGCACCTGGACCCTCTGCTGGAAGATGCCCCTGAGCACCAGCCCAGTCCCCCTGACAAGGGCTTCACAGGTGAGCAGCTCATCTGTGGAGGGTTCTGAAATGAGCCGAGGACAGCACTGGACTCAGGGCCAGAAGGCCTGAATTCTTGAATGTGCCATGTGGTTTAAACAGGCCATCTTACCTCCCTTTTTTCATCTGGATAATAGGGCTGAAAAGCCTGGGATACCTCGGGTCACTGGTAAGTGAGATGAGCTGATGTGTGTGGAAGCACCAGGCACAAGATAGGAATTTCATATCTAGTTCTCTGATCTGTGGAGATGCCTACCATGCAGGACCATGTTAACCCCCTGGAACCTGCTTTGAGTCATAGCTGGGCGTTCAGGTGGGGAGGAGGATGAGTGGCAAGACCCTCAGCATCTTCATCAAGTCCCTTTCAAATGCAAGGTCTGCCAGGTCCCTAGCTGTTGTCTACCCTGCACCGAGCTGCCTTTTACCCCTCCTCCAGGCAGCTTCCCTGGAGTATCCCTCTGTGCTCTAGCCTGTCCAGTCTTTCCCTATGAAGTCCCCTGGCCTGCTTCATTGCCCAGTGGCTCAGAGCTTGAGCTCCAGCTGCATTCTGTCCTGGGTCTGCTACTCCCCCCATGTGACCAAGAGCTCTGAGCTGCCCTCTGAGCCTGGGCCCCCCTGCCATAAAGTTGGGGATAGTAGTAATCTACTTTATGGGTTGACTTTAAAGGTCACTCCTGAGGTGGGGACATGGCAGGAAAGGCTCGGTGACTGGTCATTACCTTGTTGAGCCACCTCTGTCTTATCTCTTGGGTCCTTTTGGAAGCTACTTGAGGGCAAGGCGCTTGGCTGGCTCACCCTAGCGCTCTCATGCTGCCCGGGACTGGCACACCACAGGTGCCACACAGCTTGAGGTGGTTGCTGTAAATATCATCTAGCCTGGTAGGCCTGAGCCTCTGCTAGGCACTGTAATGTCATGGTCCCTATTTGGGTGGAGTAAATAGAGGTCAATGGTACAAAAGCTCTCAATCCTTCCCTTCTCATAGCTAAGACTGGAGGCAGCCCACCCTACTCCACCTTTGCTTCTGAAAGCCTGGCCAGGTGGTGCTGCCAGGTCTCATCAGTCCCGTGCTCCCACTGCTGAGTCATTGTCCAAATACCTGGTCTTCACTGACTGTCCCACTCCTCTACCGTGCTGGCCCTGTACCCTTCACAGCCACAGCTGATTCTTTCCCTCAGCCTGGCTCAGAGTAGACCCAGGAGGGGATGCAGCATGGAATCGGAGGTCAAGAGAGTAGGCTTCCTGGAAGAGGTGCTAGAAGCAGGTGTCAGGTGTCTGTTCACTCTGCCTGGGCCTTTGCTGGGCCTGCCCCACAGCACCTGTGTCTTTTCTTCAGATAAGCTCTTCTACATCTACACATCAGGCACCACAGGGCTACCCAAAGCTGCCATCGTGGTGCATAGCAGGTAAGGGGCAGGTGCCCAGGGTGGTCCTGCATGAGATTGGGGAGATTCCTCCTGCCATCGTAGGCACCCACCGACCCTCTGCCCTCTGCCCTCGTAGGTATTACCGCATGGTTGCCCTGGTGTACTATGGATTCCGCATGCGACCTGATGACATCGTATATGACTGCCTTCCCCTTTACCACTCAGCAGGTAATCCTGGGCCCACCCCTTAGCTGACAGCATCCTCACGGCCTTAGGAGCCCCCACACTCCTGGCCAGGCAACATCTTGCAGTAGAACTATGTGAGCTCAAATCGAGGTTCAAATATAGGCATGACTATTGACAGTTCCGTGAGCCTCCTGCTGTGGGACAGTGTCCCAAGGGCCCCCTGGGCGGCTCTGCATTGGGGCTGTGCAGCATTGGCTACAGGGGTGTAAGGAGACAGCTTGAGTATTGTTCCAACCTTCAGGATGCTTCAAGGAGTTGGACATGGTGGTACACACCTTTAATCCCAGCAGAGGCAGGCGGATCTCTGTGAGTTCAAGGCTACATAATGAGACCCCTTCTTTTTTTTTTTCTTTTTGATTCAGGGTCTCCCTGTAGCCCCAGCTGACCTGGGACTCACTAAGTAGACCAGGCTGGCCTTGAACTCACAGAGATCCGCCTGGCTCTGTCTCCTGAGTGCTGTGATTAAAGGCATGTGCCACCACGCCCAGCAAGAGACCCTTTCTAAAAAACTTTAAAAAAAAGATGTTTCCAAGAGGTCTGTGTTGGGGTAGGGGGGATGATGGGAAGGAACCTACCTGACATTGGAAAGATGGCTCAGTGAGGGGAAGGAGAGGGAGCAGAAGTTCGGTACACAGGAAGACCAGGGTTGGGGCTGAGAAGACTCCCTGGTGGGGCAGAGGCTAGGTAGGGGAGCTCAGTTTTGCCTGGCTGAGTGACAGCTGCAGTGGCTTGAGGCCAGCCCCATGCCCTGGGGCAACTTAAGCATGGGCTTGATCTCACAGGCCTTGGAGAAGGTGTCTGAATAGATGACTGGGTAGTGTAGGCAGGACAGGACAGGGGAAGACCTGAGGAAAGGTCCTGTGAGGAGGTTGGCTTGGAAACTGGGTGAGAACAAAGAGACCACCACTCCAATTAAAGGGTCCTGGAAAGGCAAAACTTTACTTCTGATCATAAGGGTGCAAGACTCAAAAAATGGAGAAGCAGCACACCAGGCAGGAGATTGGTTAGATTTTTTACCCTAAAGAAGGTACCATGTCTTCTCCCCATTGGCTGTAGTCCAGCCTCACCAGTTGGCTGCTTTTAAAATGAAGGAAACGGGGATGGAATCATCTACTCCAGGGCACCAAGTTTTGGAAATGCCACAGGGCCTTTGCATAAACAAAAATTGATAAGGTCGAGGAGAGAGAAAAAGATTTGAATTCCTTTTCAGAAGCGAAAGTTTTATAGTTTCAAGGCCTATCCTCTGCTGTGAAGCAAGCTTGAGGCCATCCTAGACTCTATGAGACTGTGTCTCAAAGGTGAAAAAACTAAAGAAGGAGGGCTGGACTAGAGGAAGCTCTAGGGGTTGGGTCTGTCTCCTCAACTCTGAGCCCCTCTCCCTTCAGGAAACATCGTGGGAGTTGGCCAGTGCCTAGTCAACGGCATGACAGTCGTGATCCGGAAGAAGTTCTCAGCCTCCCGGTTCTGGGATGATTGTATCAAGTACAACTGCACAGTGAGTGGAAAGGGATGAGCAGCCCCTGCCCCTCGCCTCCCACTGCCCCCCACACCTTGTGGCATTTGCTGTACACAGCTGAGACTGTTCAGAACAGTTCAAATGGGGAGGGAAGGGACAGTACAGCCCCTAGTGGGAAGGGCTGGAAGGATGGGGAGATGGTGAAACGGAGCACCCGGAGAGCCTGGACTCACACCATGACCACCCCAGATTGTGCAGTACATCGGTGAGCTGTGCCGCTACCTCCTGAATCAGCCACCTCGGGAGGCGGAGTCTCAGCACAAGGTGCGCATGGCACTGGGCAATGGCCTTCGGCAGTCCATCTGGAACAACTTCTCCAGCCGTTTCCACATCCCCCAGGTGGCCGAGTTCTATGGGGCCACTGAATGCAACTGTAGCCTGGGAAACTTTGACAGCAAGGTACAGTCCAGCTTAGGGAAATTGAGGTGACTGTGGGGATGGACCACAGTGGGCGAGGGCAGCAGAGGAGTGGGCAGAGTTTCAGCATGACAGTGGATGCCAGAGTCCCTCCTCAGCCCCTCTGTCCAGTGAGGAGCCTATGGAGCCCCAGCCTGAGTCTCAGCCTTTGCAGGTGGGGGCCTGTGGTTTCAACAGCCGCATCCTGAACTTTGTGTACCCAATCCGGCTGGTACGAGTCAATGAGGACACCATGGAGCTGATCCGGGGACCCGATGGTGTCTGTATTCCCTGTCAACCAGGTCTGCGCCCTGGAGGGTGGTCAGCCAGTGTGGGTAGACAAGGAATGTGTTCTGACCAGTGGTTACAAGTCCACTTTGCACCTAGGGCTTCACGTTACTCCTCTGTGTGCCCCATCTATCCATCCACTCGCTTCCATGCATCAGTCCATCCATTCTTTCATGATGACTCAGGAAGGCCCAGTCCTGACCACCTGGGATTGTTTCTGGCCTAGCCCCTTAGCCTATGTGGTAGTCAAATCAGCCTCTGCCTGAGTCCCTCAACTGCACATAGGGCTGATGGCAACACCTGCTTCATGGGTTGACCTGAGAATTAGTGTGGTGAAGAACATGAAGCTGTTTGAGGAGAGCCAGGGCTGGAGCTGTGGTGCCAGTTGTTGAGCATTTAGTAGAGCCCGTGCCGCCCATTCTGCGTTCTTTTCCTTGATCGGTTCATGACCTCTGTCACTGAGGCTCAGTACGTTGGACCTGCCCAGGTGGGCTCCCTGTTCTCAGCCACCTGGGGGCAGATGGGGCATCTCAGGGAAGGGGGTAGGGGGTTGTGTTTAGGTTTTCTTTTTCAGTTTTTATCTTTTCTTATGGTGCTGATGGTTGAATCCAGGGACTCACGCATGCTATATGCATACTCTGCACTGACCTACACACAGAAATGAAGTATTTCTGTGACAGAAGGCATGGATCAAGTCAGCTAAAGATACAGGATGCCTTTGTTGCAGAAGATAGGTAGAAGAGGCCACGAGTCTGACTGTCTTCCTCATCCCTAGGCCAGCCAGGCCAGCTGGTGGGCCGCATCATCCAGCGAGACCCCCTGCGCCGCTTTGATGGTTACCTCAACCAGGGTGCCAACAGCAAGAAGATTGCGAATGATGTCTTCAAGAAGGGGGACCAAGCCTACCTCACTGGTGAGTCCCCCACCCTTCCAGGGGGACAGGGAGGGATGTATGGAGCATCTGCCACCTTCAGAGAACATACCTAGGGACTCTCCAAGGCACAGCCCTAAGATAAAACACATCCTTGGGCTCCAGTGAGGGCTGTTGGGCTCATTCTGGGTCAAGAGCTAGGCTGGCCCAGGTCCTGACTCACTGCACCCCTCCCTAGGTGACGTACTGGTGATGGATGAGCTGGGCTACCTGTACTTTCGAGACCGCACTGGGGACACATTCCGCTGGAAAGGGGAAAATGTGTCCACCACAGAAGTGGAGGGCGTACTCAGCCGCCTACTGGACATGACCGATGTGGCAGTGTATGGTGTCGAGGTGCCAGGTATGTGTAGGGATGCAGGGTGTGCATGTCAGGACTGCCCCTACTCACTGTATGTTCTCCTGCCTCAGGAACTGAAGGCCGGGCAGGAATGGCTGCCATAGCTAGCCCCACAAACAGCTGTGACCTGGAGCACTTTGCACAGACTTTGGAGAAGGAGCTGCCTGTATACGCCCGCCCCATCTTCCTGCGCTTCTTGCCTGAGCTACACAAAACAGGTCTGCCCCTCCCCTGTTCCAGCTCCCCAGTCAGGTCTGGCTCCTTCCAGGCTCTTCCTAAAGAAACTCCCTGGCTGGCGTTTGACCTTGACACACCAGCCTTGCCTCCCTCTGGAGATGCGCGGATGCAAACTTCAGAGGGGCGCTCCTGTGGTGGGGTACTGCTGCTGGTCCACACAGCCTATACACTGTTGGAATCTTAGAGCCAGATGGGAAAAATTCTGAAGATGGGAATAGGCTGGATGTACTGGTCTCCTCTGTAACCCTTCCACTTGGAAGGTGTAGGCAGGTTGGCTGGGATTCTAGCCTTGGCTGAACAGCCAGTTCAAGGCCAGTTTAGGCCGTGAAGCTCAGTCTCAGAAAACCAACAGCAGGGCTGGAAAATGGCTGGGCAGTTAGTGCGCTGGCTACTCCCAGAGAGGCCCCGGGTTCAGTTCCTAGCACCGAGACGGTGGGTAACCACCAGGTAATGTCCTCTTCTGGCCCTGAGTATGCTTACATACATGTAAGCAAAATACTCAAAAAAACAAATTTCAGCAGGGCGTGGTGGCACACTCCTTTAATCCCAGCACTCGGGAGGCAGAGGCAGGTGGATCTCTGTGAGTTCAAGGCCAGCCTGGTGTACATAGTAAGTTCCAGGAAGGCTGGGAGGCTAGAGGGAGACCCTGTCTCAAAAAAAAAGACCAACCCGGGTGTGGTGGCGCATGCCTTTAATCCCAGCACTTGGGAGGCAGAGGCAGGCGGATCTTTGTGAGTTTGAGGCCAGCCTGGTCTACATAGTGAGTTCCAGGACAGCTGGGGCTACAAGGAGACCCTGTCTCAAAAAAAAGATAAAAAAAACCCTAAATTTCAAACAAACAAAAACTGAGCTGGGGTGGTAGCTCACGCCTTTAATCCCAGCACTCAGGAGGCTGAGGCAGGCGGATCTCTGTGCGTTCGAGGCCAGCCTAGTCTATATAGTGAGTTCCAGGCCAGCTGAGGTTACAGGGAGACCCTGTCTCAAAAACGACCAAAACTAATAATAATAATAATAAAATACTAACCCCGCCTCCCCGAACAACACCAGCAGCTAAAAAGAAAATGAACTTCAGATCAAGCCACAGTAGACTGGGGATATAACTCAGTGGCAAAGCATGTATGAGCCTTAGGGTCAATCCCTAGTACCGTAGAAAAATAATTGATAAATAAATAATAAAGTGAATGTAGTTGGACAAAGATTAAGGCAGATAGTATACAAACAAATTAAATGGAAAAGAAAACCACTCCCCCTCACCCAATCTGGGTGCTTCAGAATAGCAAGCATCAGGGTAAGGTGGGAGAGGCCATCAGGGACGAAGCCCTGTGGGGCCAGGATGGGAGTTTAGACTATCCAAGGAACAGTAGGGAGCTGTCCAGGTGTTTGAGCAGCATAGTAACCTGGTCAGATTTGTGTCCCACAGCGACTACTGGCTACTGGAGAGAAGAAGGGGACTGCAGGTGTCCCTGGGAGCCACGAGATGAGGGAGAGGCTGTTGCATCTGTCTGAGAGCATTGAGTTGTGGGCCTATGGTCACATGGCAGGCAGTACCATCCTTCTACCTACTGGTCTACTGATAGCTCAGGAGCTCCCTGGGACAGGAGTGTCCAGACTCAACCATGTGCCCCTCACTGCCCTTTCTAGGCTCTCCGCCTTGCTCAGCCTCTTCCTGGCTGTTCGCCCTTGGACACATGTGTCAGGTCAGGCCCTGCCTAGATGGCAGGCCTTCCCTCACTGTTGATGTCTGCTAGCTAGCGGACACCTGAACCTCATGCAGCACCTGAAACGGAGAAGGGCCAAGGCTTCAGTGTGGTACAGGAAGGGACACGGGCATCAGAGTCATAACTGAGACTGGGTTAGACTTGAGATTTCTATCCAGAAGCAGGAAGGCATCCAGATGGCCTTGCTACAGAATGAATTGCATGCTGGGGATGTTTGGTGTCATCCCTGGCCATGATGGTTGCAGCAGCCCTGTGTCAGAAGTGCCAGTCTAGGGGCCTCCCCCGGGCAGTGTACCTCTGCTCCACATAGCCTTTCTTCCTTCCCAAGGCTGGACTGGCCTCAAGGCACCCCTCAAGAGCCCAGGAAGGTCCTGTGCTGCCTTGGCTCACTCAGAACTCCTACACATGGCTGCTGCCACATTCTGTTGTTAGGCACATCTCAAGACCAGTCCAGATTCAGGAGGTTTGAGTGCACTATAATTTCTGTTGGGAGCAGTGGGTCCAGGGAGAGGAAGATTCTGTCACACCCAGGTTTGAATCCCAGCTCTAACACTTACTAGCTGTGTGGCTTTGGCCCAGAAATACACTCCTGTGAGCATCGATCTTCTCTATAGTGAGGCTGATCCCACTGATGGAAAAATGTAGAACAGGGGCTATAGCTCAGTCAGTCAAGGGCATAGCCAGTCTGTTCCAGGCCCTGGGTTCCATCCACTGACAGCATAAACTAGGTGTGTTGGAAGATGCCTATAATCCCTTTTCAGAGGTAGCTGCAGGAAGATCCAGAGATCATGGTTGTTTTCAACTACATATCAAGGTCAAGGCCAGCCTGGGCTTCCTGAGACCCTTTCTTTTTAAAAAATGTATAGTTTAGGCCGGGAGTGGTGGTACATGCCTCTAGTCCTAGCACTTGGGAGGCAGAGGCAGGCAGATCTCTGAGTTCAAGGCCAGCCTAGTCTACATAGAGGGTGCCAGGCCATCTGGGGCTACAGGGAGAACTTGTCTTAAAACAAAGAAGAGCAAACAAAGGAACAAAAATATTGGGCCATGGTTAGTTAGCATGACTGTCCTGTGTCTAATCTCCACAAAGTTGTGCCAGGACCCCCTTGAATAGCAGGCACTCTTAATCACTGAGCCATCTCTTGCCCAAGGCTGCTTTGAAGCAGCTCATAGTAATGGGTAGAATGTTCTTGGTGAACTGTAAAGGGCTAGGCCCCTCCCTCCTACATTTTTTTCTGTCCCTAGCCTTCCCTTCCTCAGCACTGATCATCAGGTTTCTGGGAACTTGGGCCCCTGCCTTGCACTTTTTGAGTTTTCTTCCCCACCCCCCAGGGACCTACAAGTTCCAGAAGACTGAGCTTCGGAAGGAGAGCTTTAACCCTGCTGTCGTGAAAGACCCAGTGTTCTACCTGGATGCCCGGAAGGGTTGCTACGTTCCACTGGATCAAGAGGCCTATACCCGTATCCAGGCAGGCAAAGAGAAGCTGTGATTTTCCCCCCACATCCCTCTGAGGACCAGCCGGATGCTGACTCCAGAGCCCCAGTTTCTGCCCCATGGGGTCCTGGGCAATGCCAGACCAAAGCTAGCAGAGCCCGCACCTCCACCCCAAGGTGCTCAGCCCCTCTAAAACTGCCATGTGACTCACTGCCGCCTCCTCCCACCCCAAAGCTTTCTGTGAAAGCTTCAAGTCCAAGCTCTGTCTTCTCAACCAGGCAGGGCCTCTGGGCCACAAGCTGAGACTGATGGGGCCCCTCTTCAGGATGATGTCTTTGGTTTGGCAGGGCAGGGAGTGGGAGAAGGGTCACCAGGCTCCCTCCAAAAGGAAGGAGTTTGCAAGTGGGATCAAGGCAGACGCCTCCAGTCTCAGGAAGCCACGTGGGGTGGCCAAGGACAGTCTCCCAGCATCTTTGTCTCTAGAAGAGGGTGTGTGCATCTCAGATGGAGCCTTCCTGTCCTTAGGTCTGCACTGCCTTCCCCATCTCGGTCCTGACCTGACTGGGAGGGGAAGAAATGGGGGAGGGCTCAGGGGCCAATAAACTCTGCCTTGATTCCTCCTAGCCTGTATACCCACTCCCTAGCCTACCTCCAGCCTGCTCAGACTTTACCACCTCACCTGCCCCTCTGGCCCATTTACTCAGTACTCGGACTTGGATAGGGTGGGTAGCTGCACACTCCTGCCCCTTCCCAAATGCTTTCCTCCCTACTAGTTCTATTGGGGGCAGTTTCCACCAAACCTGACATAGTTTTGAGCAACTTGGACTTCAAAATCCAAATTAGGCGTGGTGGCACATGCCTTTAGTCTCAGCACGAGACAGACAGATCTCTGGGAGATTAAAGACAGCCTGGTCTACACAGTTCCAGGCCAGCTGTGGCTATAGGGAGATCCTGTCTCAAAAAACTGTCTCTAGAAGCAAAGTTTGTGGCTTTCTTGGGCAGGTGACTCAGGAGGATTCAGAAGCCAGAGGAGCCATCGTGCAGAAAGGGACACTGGGGGTTATTTGCAGGGTGTTCCCCCAGTTGTTCAGGAAAATGTGCCTGAGCGCCGGAGTGAGGCTGCTTGACCAGCCCTGGCAGCTCTGGAGCAGCCAGCAGAGCTGCAGATCACAGGAATGGAGTCCTACAGGGAATCCCAGTGAAGTAGGAAAGTCCCCATCAAGCTCAGGGTGGTATATCAGCTCTTGGCCCTAAGGCCATATCTCCACTGTTGAAACGTCACCCTAAATCTATGAGGTAGATTAGTAATGTGTGTGTTTTAAGGTGGTTTCACATTTAAGATGGCATTGAACTGATCCTCCTGCCGCCGACTACCAAGTACTGCAATTACAGGCCTGTGACGTCATGCCTAGCTTGAGTTTGTTTTTGATTTGCATGTATGTACTGAGTGCCTGTGCCCGAGGAGGCCACACCACAGGCACTGGAACCCCCTGGAGCTGGAATTATCAGTGGGTGCTGGGAACCTGGTCTTGAGGCAGGTTTTATAAATGGGCTATTCAAGAAAAGACCCAGAGCGTGGGTCAGTCATTTGGCGAAGGTCACAAAAGGAGTGGGGGCTGGAATGCAAACCCAGCCCGTGCCCTTCCCCAAGTACAGTCCTGCCACATGGTGCAGAAAGCAGCAGGAAGGCAGGAGTTGTCATGCCTGTGTAGCCTGCCTTGGGCCACATCTGGCCAGTAGCTGACATTTCAGAGTCTCAGTGGCCAAGATAAGAAAGCCAGGGATAGTGGCCACATACCGTTAATCCCAGCACTTGGAAGGCAGAGGCAGGTGGATCTCTGTGAGTTTAAGGTTGGCCTGGTCTACAAAGCAAATTCCAGGGCTGGTACGTTGGGGAACAAAGGTAGAATAGAAGGACTTTACACAGATGTTAAGGCAGGTGGAGGGCTTGGCTAGGTGCTATGCCAAATGTGACCAGCAGAGGGTGCAAGGAGATCAAAGAAGGCAGTCTGGCCCATGGCGCCTTGTCAAGGAAGCTGGAAGGAGGAATAGGCTTTGTTGTCTTTCCTAAGCAGGTGCCAGACTCAGAAGCCTGAGTCTGATCTTTGAAAACTTCAGGTTGGGCTTCCAAGAGTTTAGGCTTGAGAAAATGCTTTCAGATATTAAGATTCCATACTAGGGCTGGGTGTGGTGGCGCACACCTTTAATCCCAGCACTTGGGAGGCAGAGGCAGGGGGATCTCTGTGAGTTTAAGGCCAGCCTGGTCTACATAGTGAGTTCCAGGACAGCTGGGGCTACAGGGAGACCCTGTCTCAAAAAGAAAAAAAAAGATTCCTATACTAGGAACCAGAGAGATGGCTCAACAGTTAAGAGCACTTACTCCTCTTACAGAGGACCCAGGTACAGTTCCCAGCACCGACATCAGGCAGATCACAACCCTGTACCTCCAGTTCCAGTGAACTGACCTCATAGGCACATATGCATGTGGTGCATTTAAATGCATGCAGGCACACATACATATACATAGTAAATAAATCTCTTAAGTAAATTTAAAATAAAACATGGGGCTGGAGAGATGTCTCAGCAGTTAAGAACATTGGCTGTTCTTACAGAACACCCAAGTTTGAATCCCAGTACCCACATGGCAGCTAACAACTGTCCTTAACTCCAGTTCCAGGGGATTCAACAGCATCTTTTATCCTCCACGGGCATTGCAAACACGGGTATACTTACCTACATGCAGGCAATACTTATGCGTACATGTGAAATAAAAATAAAATATTTTTTAAAAAACCATATTAGACACGGGGCATGATGGTGGCCCACATTTGTAACCTCAGCATGAGGGGCCAGGTCTACTGGGACACCCCTATTGTCCCAGCACTCAGGAGGCAGAGGCTGGTGGATCTCTGTGAGTTCAAGGCAAGCCAGGTCTACACAGGGAGTGAGACCCTGCCTCAAAAACAAAACAAGGGGCTGGAGAGATGGTTTAGTGGTTAAGAGCACTGGCTGCTCACAACCATCCTTAACTCCAGTTACAGGGGATCTGACCCTTCTGGCCACTGAAGGCACTGCAAGCACCTGGTACATTTACATACATGCAGGTAAAACAGTCACAAAAAAATAATAATTTTTTAAAAGCCCAGTGTTGCCAGGTATGGTAGAGCAGGCCTTTAATCCCAGCACTTGGGAGGCAGAGGCAGGCAGATCTATGAGTTCAAGGCTAGCCTGGTCTACATAGTTCCAAACCAGCCCCACTACAGGGAGACCCTGTCCCAAAAAGACCAAATAATAATAATAATAGCCTCGTGTTTTGGTAAAGGTAAGGACATCTTTAATCCCAGAATGAGGGGACCAGGGCAGGCTGCTCTCTGAGTTCTGGGACAGCCAGGGTTACACAGTAAGAAAAGCAACAAAAACAGAACAAGGGTCTGCAAGTTGGCTCAGCAGGTAAGGGCACCTGCTGCCAGCCTGAAGACCCAGGTTTGATCCCTGAGGCCCACATGGTGGAAGGAGAAAACTAACTGCTGCGAGTAGTTCCATCCTCTACCCACAAGCCTTAGCACACGTGTGCCCACGCACATACACACAAATGTACACAAAATTTAAAAATAATGTAATAAAGGGCTGGAGATGACTCAGCAGTTAAGAGCACTGGCTGTTCTTGGAAAAGACCTGGGTTCCAATCCCAGCGCCCACATGGTGGCTAACAACTGTCCATAGCTCCAGTTTGAGGGAATCCAACACCCTCTTCTGTCCTCTGCAAGCATTGCATAACATGGGTGCACTTACATACATGCAGGCGTAACACTCATACACAAAATAAAAATAAATAATGTAATAAAACACAATACACCAGACATGGCTGTTTTCCGCATCCACACTGGGACCCCTCCCCATGCACAGAGTCCTTAAAGTTCTCAGATGTGCATCTGGTTGTCCCCAGACCACGCTGTGTGAACCGTCCTTTGGCACAGTAGTCGCTCAACATCTGCTTCTTAAGTTAATTAACAACAAAAGGTACTGCTCCTTCAACAGTGACCAGTTCACTGGCTGAGCAGATTCTCAAAGCTGCCTTCAGGAACCAGATAGAGACTTGGGCCTCACATCAGCCTTCAGGGAGTATAGATTTACCTAGGGAGCATTCTGCCAGAGTGGAAGCCAAATCCAGGCGATATATGCCAGGAAGAGAGAGCTGATTTGTTTTCTCTTTGAGATCATCTATGTAACCTTGGCTGGCTTGGAACTGGCAGAGCCCTTTCTACCTCATCCTCCCAAGTGCTAAGATT